ATACATCGGGGTGACGAAGCGTCGATACAATCATCCTAACTCTGGGCGAGGGGGTTTACCTCGCACTTGTGCGCGGCACATCAATTTGTTGATCAGATTGAAAACGCACTCTCAGCTACCGGCCCGTTTACTAACGCCCCTTTTGCAGGGGCTTGGGGAACCTTGCCGTCGCCGAGCGCGTTCCACTACTCGCAAAGAGCCTCCTCGCAAACGTCTGGCAAGAAATGTAAGTCTCGACGCAGTGGGTCGTCGATCCCCCGTGGCGGGTCCAGCCCGTTTGCGAGCAGTTGCTCTGCAAGTAACGGAAAGTGCTTGTCTATTGCCGTGGCCGATCGACGAGTCGGCGAAGAATTCACTTTCGGTGGCGGCTAAGAGGGGGGCGATGACGAGGGAGGGTGGATCTCATGGCGGGGGCCATGGTATCTCCCCGTATTTCAAGGCGCCCCGTCCTGTTCCAAGACGTCCCCGCCGACCCCCGTTGGGCCGCGCACATGACGCCGGCCATGATTTGCGCCCAGCCGTCTTGGACGTGTCCCTGTTGGACGCCACCGAATGTATCGTCGCAGCGCCTCAGAGGCAACCCGCACGCGCGTGTTGGCGAGACCAGGGCACGGCGTCGCGAATTAGCCCGCATGCAAGAGGGAGGTGGAGAGATGGGGGGGGCGGAGGGGGGGAGTCGGGCGCGAGGGCAATCTCAGCCGGCGGGGAGCAGGTTGGGGCACCTTTCGACGCCCGGGGGCCGCTTTCGGGCCCCGGGGCCGTCGAAAACGGGTCCGGGGCCGATCGACGAGTCGGCGAAGGGCAGGTTGGGGTAACGTTCGACCCCCAAGGGCCGCTTTCCGGCTCCGGGACCGTCGCAAAACGGGTCCGGGGTGAAGAAGTGTACCAGTTAGACCTTGGGAGGGGTCAGGGGATTGATTTTGAGGGGATTCGGCCTCGTCCGCTCGACCCTTCGCCGATCGAGGGTTCAGGCAACTCGATGTGCGGCGGGGGTAGGGTCCGGAGTTCGTCGCACACGTGGCGAGCTCCGAACCCTGCCCTGCCTCCCACCGATTCAGGAGAATCGATGTTTCGTGGGGCATCTTCTACAGAGTTGATTCTCCCGAGAATTCGTTGTTTCCGTCGGAACCAAAATACGATATGTAGAATTCCGTAGATCTACCAACGCTAGACGAATTTTCTGTAGATTCGGCGAGAAAGTCAAGTTTGGGTCAAAATCAATTCTGTAGTCGATCTTCTACTCGAACGGTTGGTGGGGGTAGGGCTCGGATGCCTCTTCCGCGCTTCCCCCATCCCCCGCCGCGGGAAAAGCGCGGCGCCAGATGCTGCTCTTCTTCTCGGCCTGCGGGGGGCCCCCCTGGGCCCACTGGCGCCGTGCACAGCGCCCGGGGGTGCCGGTCCCGCGGGGAGGGGCCCTGGCTTTTGAAAGTAAATATTCGGGTGTCTGTGTCGTTCCCGCGTCCAGTTTTCGGGCTACAAGCAGTGGCATGAACATGAATCGGAAGCTGGGCGAGGGCTGCTAAAACCGTGGCTGCTAAAACGGCCCTCCTGGAAGGAAAAAACAACTTCCCGGAATGAGACACGGCACGCGAAACAGTCAACGGGCTTCTTCCCAGAAGGACGAAGACAACTTCCCCGAGGTCGATTTCAGCAGCCACGGATTTAGCAGCCCTTGCCCGGCTTGTGAATAAAGGACTAGGAGGCCCGCGCGGATTCCTCGGAGCGGTCGCGGGGGCCCCATCTCCGCGCGAGGTGGGTTCGGTCGGGTCGGTCTGGGCGTTGGTTGTGGCGTGGCTGCGCCCTCTTGGGCCGCTCTCCGTTTCGATCGGCTTCGGCCTCGCTGTCGGTTCGGTAAGTTTTCGGTCGTGCTGCCGCCGTTGACGGCCTTGCTGTTAGCTCCTGCGACCCTTGCCTTTGAAAGCGATTGCGGCGGGCCGGCGTGGAACATATCGAAACAACTTTTTACATTTTGCGATAGTGTTCTTACAGTCGGCCCAGATTTGTAGGTCGACCCTGCCAAATCAAGGGTACCCTTGTGTCCAGTGTCTCACGACCCATGCTTCCTACATTCCTGTGGCAATGTGGCCCTCGGAAGGGTCTTGTATCCTCTCGCGTGTGCTGTCCAATCAAGGCCGACTGTATTCATTGTTTTGCCGATCGGCGCGGGCCCTCCCTCCCCCCCCTCCCCCCCCCACGTGGAGTAGATCTTGGCTGTTTGTTGCGCCTGTCTCAAGCGCGTGGATTCTCCCCCGTGGGACGCACTGGTGCAAACAGTCGCATTGAGCAGAGGTCCAGAGCCAGACCCCCCCCCCTTCCACCCAGATGTCGAAACGCTGCATCAGAAAACGCTCACTATGCAAACCAGTCCGCGCCCCCCTGCCTCGCCCCCATGAGCCCCGAAGAGGGCGGAGGGGAGCCACATGGGGCCACGGAGGAGGGACGCGAGGAGGCGTGGGTGGTGGGCTTGGCATCGCTCGGACGTGTGCATTTTCCCTTCGGCGAGGACCATCGAGGAGCATCCTTGATTATTTGGCGAAAAAACCACGCACGAAACCGAAACAGACGCAGGGAATGGACGTCCGAGCGATGGCCAGTGGGAGGCCCTTCGGCGTTTCAGGATTCCCAGGGCAGACCCCGCGTGTGTCTCCAGGGTTTCGGATCCGAAGTGCGCCTCCGCGATTTCCAGGACGGCCTCCACGGCATCCTGAGCACCCCATCACGAGGCCCCGAGGGCCGGGGGTTGGACCTACACGGTGTTTTGGCGATTTCATGGTCCGTTTTGCAGCAAGGGCGACTTCGAGACAAAGCGAGGGAAAACGAAATCATTATCCCAGTGCGACCCTACCTAGGAGTTGGAGCCTCTAGGAAAGCAACATTAGTAGGAGCGGTAAACGCTGCGCTATGCTCTGTTCTGCTCTGTTCTGCTATGCTATGCTCTGTTCTGCTCTGTTCTGCTATGCTATGCTATGCTATGCTATGCTGCGCTATGCTATGCTGCACTATGCTATGCTCTGCTATGCTATGCTATGCGTTTGCTTTGCCTTCGCTTTTGCCTTCACTTTTGCCTTTGCTTTTGCTTTTGCTTGGCACCCAGGGAGCGCAACTGGGGGAACCGCGCGTTTGCTGTTACCTTTGCTGTTGCTTTTGCTTGGCTCCCAGGGGACCGGGGGAACCGCCCGGGGCGCTTTCCATTGCTTGGAGGGTGAAAGAGGGGGTCTGCAACAGGGGGTCTTCAATGGGGGCTGAATGGCCCATGTATGCCCAATGTATCGTTCATGTATGTGATCGGGTACGATTGGCATCCAATGCTGGCGGTCATTGATGGCCAGTCATTCGTGCCCGCGCGTTGCCCGCGCGGTCACACGCGCCGTCCATCCATTATCGTTCATGCGTGCGGGCGTTCTTGCATATTGCGTGTGGGTCGGCGAAGTGGAGTGCAAGTGTGTCTTGATTGTGCGGTTGATGATCGCGTATGTTCCCAAACGATGACTTCTCGACCCCCAAGACAGATTTGGAATGGGCCCCGCGATTCTCCCAAAATGTGAATTCAAATTCTCCTTTTTCCCAAAATATGAATTCACACTTTCCTTTTTCCCAAAATGTGAATTCACATTCTGGCCCCTTCATAAAGAATCTTACACAAAATTCCAAACTGTGAATTCACATTATCCTTTTTCCCAAAATGTGAATTCACATTTTCCTTTTTCCTACAATGTGAACTCACATGTTGCTTTTCCCCACACTGTGAATTATCATTTTGCCCTGGCTTTGAAGATCCCAAAAACTGAGGCGCAGTGTTCCGCATGTCAGATTGGCTGGGCAGATTTCGACACTTACCTGACCGCTTTCGTGTGTTCCAGCCTTTTCTTCTTGCGCCCTTAGCGCACGTTGCCTTCGTCGCCTTTCCCGAGCCCCCCGCCACCTTGCTTCCTTTCCCCTCGAGTCTCGCGCGCGGGTGCAGGGTGGGGGGCTTCAATTAGTTCCCCCGCCGAACACAGCAATCGAGGATGCATCGCCCATTCATGGCCTTAAAAAACATCATTGCCGGGACCCTGTGCCCGACCCCCAGTTTCACCCTCCAAACTGCCCGGCCCCTTCAAGCAAAGAAAGTAAGAACCCTTCTAGGCAGAGCCTAGGTAGGGAAAAGCGAAAACGAAAAAAACAGTTTAGCTCGAGTCCTGCTGAGGGCCCCCCAGGGTCTCTCCAAGGCGCCCCCGGGCCAGGGACGTACTTTTGGCAAGCCCCCGGGTCTGCACATCAGGGGTCGTTGGAGACCAGGACGTCGCACACCGGGACTCTGGAAGGGAGGAGGATGAGGGGGAAGGGGAGGAGGATGAGGAAAAGGAGAAGGAGGAAGAGGAGGAGGAGGAGGAGGAGGAGGAGGAGGAGGGAGGAGGGAGGAGGAGGAGGAGGAGGAGGAGGGCGGAGGAGAGGAAGAGGAGGACGCAGTTGTTGGTTGTTTTCCTACTCCTGGCGCCGCTCCGTTAGAAATGGGGAGCGTCTGTGGTCAAGCGTTGTGGCCCCTGCGTGCTCCACCGTGAAAGCGGGGCGGAGAGCCGGCACGCCCTGGTCGTTTTTTGCTGTCATTTCCACTCCAGCCTGGACTTCATTGGGCCGCGGCGGTGAGCCGTGCGGGGTTCGCTGTGCCGCGCCACCGATTCGTGTCGGTCTCGCGCAAAAGGAGGGAGTGGGGAGGGGGGAGGGCTTTTTAGAAGCACCCCTGGTTCTCAGAAGGCGCCGGCCTGAATATATTATATATGTATACACACATATATGTACCACATAAAATCATCGACGCATTCATACATAAATACGTGCATCATACGTACATACATACATACATGCCGACTTGCCTACCCACCTACCTACCTACCTACCTACCTACCTACCTACCTACCTACCTACCTACCTATAAACACACCTACATACATGACTACATATATGCATGTATACATGCATAAACATAACCACATGCATGCATGCATGCATGCATGCATGCATACGCACATACGTATATACATATGTGCATACACATATGTATGTATCGCCTTCTGAGAAGCAGCCTCCTTCCAAGAAGCCTTCCCCCCTCCCTCAACCCCGTTGGTCACCGACCTGTATTGTCGATGTGCGCAAGGGGTGTTTCGGTCCACGACTGCCGCTACCTCGGGCGCGCCGGCAGCTGGGCTCTTAGAGCTCCCCGCCTGCGGGGCCCGGAGCCTCTGTGCGTGGGAGAAGAAAAAAAAAAAAAAGAGGACGATAAGGACGTCCAGGAGGAGGACGAGGAGGAGGAATCGGACCAGTGCAAGCCCAAGACGCATCAACGAGATTGCAGTAAACCTTCCCTCCAATTTCCCTCGTCATAGGCCCCTTCACAAGGCTGCGTTCTCATTTGGGGACGTGCCCCGTTGGAAGATAGCCCTTTGAAAATCCAGAATTGTGCCAGAACGTGGTTCCTGCGATTTCAAGGCCGCGAAACACCGCTACTGTTGCGTGTTAACGATCCTGAATCGCGCCTGATCACAATTCCTGAAACTTCAACTCCGCGACTCAACGTGACTGTTGCGCCATGACATCCCTACCATACAAATGCTTGAGACGGCTGCAGTCTCTGAAAGCGAATGTAGACGGCGCTAGGACGAGAGCCACATTTTGGAAAGGAGCCGCCTCCACCCGCGAGACTTTTTTTGATTCTTGTAGGGCGAATGCGTGCGGAACTAAGGCGAGAGCCATATTTTGAAAACGGGCCGGCCTCCACACGTGCAGTTCTTGCATTGTCTTAGGGGACGAATGCGCGCGGCGCTAAGACCAGAAACCGCATTTTGAAAATAGCCCGCCTTCCATCCGTGAATATCGCATAATGTTTACGACGATTGCGCGCGGCGCTAGGGAGAGCAACTTTTTTTCATACGGCCCGCCCGCCACCTGTTAGGCTCCTTCAGACTTGTTACACGAATGTGCGAGGCGCTCAGGCGAGAGCTAAATGTTGCAACTCACCCGCCCTCCATCCTTGATGTTCTTGAAAAGTTTAAGCTCCAGGATCGTACACAGTGAGGAACTCTCAGGCGAAACACCCGGCCCGCCCAGGGCCTCGGGGTGTGACAGGGAGGAGTTATTTCGAATGACAGGGATGGAGGAGGAGGAGGAGGAGGAGGACCACCAGGAGGAGAAAAAGGACGAGGGTGAGAAGGAGATGAACGAGGAGGAGGAAGGAGAAGGACCAGTGTACACCCAAAGGTGTTCAACGATGTTGGAATACACCTTCCCTTCAAGGTCCCTCTTCATGGACCCCATGCAGGGTTCATTTCCATTGATGGAAGTGCCCCGATGGGAGACAACAGTATAGTAAAAATCCGGAAGCGCACCCACACATCATTTAGGATTTCAACGCCGCAACTCAAACTGGTGTTTGCGTCTTGACGATCATGAATGGTGCCAGGACACCACTCCTGGCACTCCAATGCCGCGAATCAATGTAACTGCCCTGGACGTTCAGAAACGTTCCAAACACGATTCCTGGCACGGTGATTATGACAGCCCGTGAAATTGTTGCTGCATTTGTTTGGAACGAGCGTGCTCGAAGTTGAAAATGAGCCGCCGTCGATCGGTCAAGCTCTTGCAAATGTGTAAGACGAGTGCGCGCGGCGCTCAGGAGAGAGCAACATTTCGAAAAGCAACCGCCCTCAATATGTGAAGCCCTTGCATTTCTTCAAACGAATGCGCGCGGCACGCAGGAACACGACGCTCTGATGACGACCTGTCCTCAATAAGCTCTTGCAAATTGTTCAAACGAATGGTTGCCGCGCTAAGGCTCGAACCACGTTTTGAAAACGGCCCGCCCTCCGTTTGTGAAGCTGTCGCCAGCTTCCCAGCTTAACGCTCATAGTTCGGCAGGAAGTCTCAGGCGAAGCGCCCGGCCCGCCCCATTCGATTGGCCTCGGGGTGCGACAGGGAGGAGTTATTCACAGGGAGACCGAATGAGGAGGCGGACGAGGAGGAGGAGGAGGAGGAGGAGGAGGAGGAGGAGGAGGAGGGGGAGGAGGAGGAGGAGGAGGAGGAGGAGGAGGAGGAGGAGGAGGAGGAGGAGGAGGAGGAGGAGGAGGAGGAGGAGGAGGGAGGAGGAGGAGGAGGAGGAGGAGGAGGAGGAGGAGGGAGGAGGGAGGAGGGAGGAGGGGAGGGAGGAGGGGAGGAGGGAGGAGGGAGGAGGGAGGAGGAGGGAGGAGGGAGGAGGGAGGAGGAGGAGGAGGGAGGAGGGAGGAGGAGGAGGGGAGGAGGAGGAGGGAGGAGGGAGGGAGGAGGGAGGAGGGAGGGAGGAGGGAGGAGGGAGGAGGAGGAGGAGGAGGAGGAGGAGGAGGGAGGAGGAGGCGGAGGCGGAGGAGGAGGAGGAGGAGGCGGAGGAGGAGGAGGAGGAGGAGGAGGAGGAGGAGGAGGAGGAGGGAGGAGGGGGAGGATCGCAGGGAGGAGCTGTCGGCCCGCCCTCCAGCAGGAGCAGGCGCTGCTGGTGCAGTGCATCTCCCACCTGAACTCCGTGGCCAACTTCAAGAGAAAGGGCCCCCCTCGGGGTGGGCGGCGGGCGCCCCCCCGCTCTCCGCTCTCCGTCCTCGACGACGGCGGCGGCGGCGATGGCGGTGACGACTGCGACGACGACGACGACGACGATAATGACGACGACAGACGACAGACGACAGACGACGGCGTCTCCCCATCCCGCCATCCTGCCGTGAGCGCCAGGGAGAACTTTGCACGGGTGTTGCCAGGAGTGCCCCTGGCCCCCAGGAGTTCCAAGAAAGCCCTCCCACGGCCTCCAGCAGGGCTCGATTTGAACGGTGTTTGGGCGATTTCGTAAACCGTTTTCGTTTTGAAACCGTTTTGCGGCAAAGGAGGAACAACCACCAATCGAGGGAACACGAAAACAACACGCAAACGAAAAACACTGTTTAGGGCGATCCCTGGTCCAAGGTGCCCCCAGGAGTTCCAAGGAAGCCCTCCCACGGCCTTCAGAGCAACCCTCACGAGGCAAAGAGGACCCCAGGGTCTCCAAGATGGAGCGGATGGCTGGGGGCACCTTGGCCAGGGGCACCTTTAGCAACCCCCGACTTGCTGCTATAACATGCACGTGTTTTCTTATGTCCTGTTGTGATTTGCCACGCATTGACATCGATTATTGTGCGCTCTGAAAGGGTCGGCCGCGATTGCATTGCTCGAATGTTCTCTGGCTCCATTGCCTCTCGCCGGAACATCGCTATTCTCGGGCTGATCGACAGGACCGTTATTGGGTCTGGCCTCGTTTGTTCGCTGATTTGTTATCTCTCGACTGCGATCGTCAGGGGCTTCCAACGTGGAAACACTGCTTATTAGAGACAGCCGTTCGCGTTTTACTCTCACTGGCCTTCCGTGATTGGCGGTTGCTTCCCTAATTCCACCCTCCGTGGTGTTCCCCTCGCGTTCGCCCTTCCTCTCCCCACTCTTTCCCCCCACCCGCCTCCCTCCCTCCTTTTATCCCCTTCGTCGCTGCTGCTGTCATGTCCCGCTGTCGCTGTCGTGTTTTCGTGTCGGTCGTGGTCTCTTTGTCCGCCGTCCCCTCTATGCAGCGCGGCGTGGTCTGGCAGCGTGCTTCCACCGCCCTGGCTCTGCGAGAACGGGAACCCTATGGCTCTGCCTCCAAAAGCGGCAGTCGAACCTGAGCGGGACTGGACGATCTCGGACTTCCCGTTTCCCTTGTGAAGTACAATTTGTATTATTCCTCTCCAAGTCGGGGAAAGCCGATTGCATGAGCATGGGCGCCTCGTTTTGCGCATCGCTTGGCATTGCTCGGAATGGCGTCGCATGGCTTTGCATTGCTTCGCATTGCTTGATATTGCGTGGCATTGCTTGACATTACGTTGCGTTGCTTGGTATTGTTTGGGCAGTGTTTGTCTTTGCTTCGCATTGCTTGGCATTGTTTCGCATCGCTTGGCATTGGTTAGCATTTCTTCGCATTGCTTGGCATTGCTTGGCGTTGCTTGGTAACCCGAGGAACCCTGGGAACCTGGGGAGCCCGGAAGCCGTGGAACCTGGGAAACCCGAAACACCCAGGGAACCCGAGGAACCCAAGGAACCCGAGGAACCCAAGGAACCCGGGGAACCTCCGAGGAACGGGCAACATAAGGTCCATCTTGGAGGCCGTCTTGGACTCTCCGAGGCCGTCTTGTAGCCGTCTTGGGCCATCCGGCACGCCTCGCTGGGCGCCCCGTCCAAGTCCAGGGGAGTTGGCAGAAGAGGAAGCGCCCCAGACCACCTACGCCCTCAGCGCCGCGCACATTCTTTTTCAATTTTGCAAGAGTTTCAGGGGTAGGAGGCGGGTCCTTTTTCAGAATGCGCCTGCGCATACTGTCCATGATAATGCTTTGATCTTTCCAAGTCGGATGCTCTTCCTCGAGGTCGGCCTCTGGGGCCCGTTTGTGGCCCGCGGGACAAACGCACCCCATGGGGATTCGCTGGACATTTGGACCCGTGGATTGAACAGAACCATGCGGGAGGATGTCTGGGTATGTCTATGCAGCTGATCGTTCTTCTCGAGAGGTCGCCTTGAAGGCACCCGAGCCCTTCGAGCAGGCCTCCTGCCTTCCCAGAAGACCGCCCTCCAGGGGCAACGACAGGGAGGGATCGGCTCAGGGCGTGGGGACGCATCGACCCCCGAACGCCCACCCATCACCGACGGGGACCTGGCATGGCACATCCGCCCAGGAGCGTGCGGCCTCGCTAGCGAGAGCTTGCGAGGGCCAATCGCCGATCGGTCGGCGATGTATCACCGATTCCAGGGCGATGCTGTCCCCCCTGAGCCATTCCACCCCCATCGTTCCCCCTGAGGAAGAGGATTGACGATAGCCAGCCGAAGATCTCAGACCGTGTCGGTGCTTTTCGGGCCCCCGGGTTGCTACCGCAGGCTCGGGGAGGAAGAGGAGGAGGAGGAGGCGCAGGAGGAGGAGGAGGAGGAACTCCAACATGGCGAGCAATGATAGATGTGCTTGCCCCTGTCCGTTGCCAATGTCGCTCTCAAGCACTTTAGGTTCAAAACCGCGCCATTTGTTGGAGCAACTTTTGCCCGCTGCCACCGTGCCCCGACCGCACACCTTGGTCTCCCGAGGAGCACGGCGGCGCGCCTCGCGGTGCTCCTCGCCCTCCTGCTGGCCGCGGAGTGCGCGGGCGAGGGCGATGCGACGGGGGAGGTGTGCGAGGACGCGGCCATGCTCCAAGCCGCGAAGGCGACTGCCGCGAATGTCGTGGCGACCGCTGCAAGCCGCGAGGTCGAGGAGGAGAGGACGTTCAAGGACCGGTACGAGGAGCGCAACGCTGATTCTGACTGTTGTGACGGACCGAGGTGCACGTTCGGCCGCCCAACTGCCATCTTTGAAATTCCAAAGCATTTTCTCGAACGTCGCCTGGCGACAGTCACATCGACCCGTTCCCGCCGGCGCGCATTTGGCTCGACTTTGCACACCGCATGTGGCTCGAGCTTGCACAAGCGGGACCTCGAAGACATTTACGTCACGAAGGACATGATGAGGAAGATCGTGCAGGAGATCGTAGAAGAGAAGGTCAAGGAAGCCACGACAGCTTCCGCCTCTCTCGGGGGACAGGCCGCTGGAACCACAGAGATCAAGGAGGACAGGGAGTTGCAGATCCTCGTCGGGGGGTCCAGGCCGACTCGGACGCGGAGCACATCGTTAACAGCATCGACTCGTTCCTATCACAGGGCACCTGGAGGCACAAAGTGGCTAAGGTGGATACCTTTACCGACCCGGCGAAGTTCGGCTACATCCAGTTCGAGAATATCAAGGCCAAGACGGGCTTCTACTTGAAGATCCGCGACGCTGACAAAACAGTGGCAGGCACGGAGCTCTGGTTCAAGAACAACCAGACGTACGAGCAAAGGATTCGGGATAAGACCCTGGGCATGATCAAAAGTTACCTTATCGAGCACAAGGGGCACTCGAAACAGGACGTGCGGATCATCTGGCCCAAAGGCGCTGTCGAGATCAATTTCAAGAAAGTTGCATGGATCACGGACGACAGCGATGTGCATGCGACTGAGGAGGGGGAGGAGGTGATGAAGGAGGCTGTAAGGAAATCTATGAAGGAATGGCGGGCTAAACGAGAGTAGGGCCTATAACACGGCAGGCCCGGTAGACGTACAAGGTTTGCATTGTCATCGAAGGTCAGTTTTGCCGCTGCTGGGGCTGGGCCCAATGAGGACCAGACGCATCTCCCGCTTGTGATGTGATGTAAGAACGTGCAGTCAATAATGAGGCTAGCTCGCTTCACAGACTTATTGGCTGAGGTAGATAGCATACCAAAGTGGGATGTGATTTTGCTCAACGAGACATGGCGGGAGGCTACCGAGGTACAGTTTGCATTGGAGAGTGGTCATGTTTTCTGTGGCTCTGGAGGCGCTCCAGGGAAAAATGGGGAGGCGATTTAATTGCATTCGCGACGGTCGTCTTCAATGCTGTCTTTTACGGCCCTCTCGGACCGCGTTTGATGGATGGACGTGGTTTTCGGCCTCAGTCGCATGCGAATCGTGTCTGCTTACTTGCCAGATGCTTTCTTGCCAGACGCAGAGGTGGAGGTCGTGCACGATGCTCTGTCCAAGTGCAAAGCTGACGCAGACAAAAACAAGTTTGCATTCATTGTTGGTGGGGATTGGAACGCTGCGATTGGAGCTCGAGCAGAGTATCTGGCTGACGATTGCGTGGGCGAGCGCGGGGTAGGACAAGCAAACGACCGGGGCTTATGGATGGCATCTTGGGCCCAGTGTGAGCGCACGGCAGTGGCCAGCACGTTTTTCCCCAAACAGTTTGACCAACAGTGGACGCACATCCACGCATGACTTTTGCATTGGCACGGGCGCTCTGGATATGGTCGCAGACACAGAGGCCACCAACGACACCAACGTCGGAGCCAACCGCAGATCTGCATCTTTGAGACTCAGAGCTCGCATGGGCGACAAGCGAAGCAAGCCAGAGCCCAGTGGAAGACGATGGCCACCTTCCCCTGTACGCTTGTTCTCCGAGGCCGTTGAAAGCAACATCGAAGACACCGCCCAGCTAGAGCAGATCCGTCTCGCACAGAAGACGCATGCCACAGCATTGAGCGCTCGCTTGTGCAATCACCGGCAGGTACTTGCGTGCAGCCTGAGCAAACCAAGAGCAAGCCTGGGCACAGGAATGCGGAAATTCGCAGGCGAATTGCTGAGAGGCGAAGAGCACGACGCGAAGCCACAGGGGCGCAGCATCGGCCAGCGAAGGCGATCAGCAAGGAGTTACAGAAGGAACTGCGGAAGTCTGAACGGACACAGAAGCAAAAGGACATCGGCAACATTCTCCGGATTTTCCGCGGCCTTCGTGACCTCCCGGCTATCCACGCCAAGAGGCGCAAGGCGCGGCTCGCCAGCGTGACTGGCCACGAGGGGCGAGAGCAGACAGAAAGGCAAGCTATAGTACATGTCTTTGCTACGTTCCATGGGGGCCTGCATTCGCAGCGGCGCTGCCCTGACCAGCCAGGCGAACCAGTTCAGCACGCCCAGCGTGTTGCCGCGATTCTGCCCGTAATGGCGCAGGAAGTGAGACGACAAGCCAGACGCTTAAAGAAGCGGGGGGCAGCTGACAGCGAAGGCATAGTGGCAGAAATGGCAAAGTACGGAGGGCTTCCATTGATCGAGGCTATAGCGGCGCTCTTCAACGATGTCCTGGCCGAAGGGGCGGAGCCGCCTGCGTCGTGGAAGCACTCCCGCGCCACGGTGATCTTCAAGAAAGGCGACCCGAAGCTGCCGCATAATTACCTACCTATATCAATTCTTCACGCTTCGCGCATCCCCACCAGCCCATCTCGCAGCAGCAACTCTCGCGAAGCATGCCGACAGTAGTTTTTTTTTGTTTTTTTAAAAAAATGCGTGTGTCCGCTTGGCCCTGCATATCTCCCCTGTTCCTCCTTCCCCCCGCCTCCTTGCACATCCTCCTTGCGTGGGGGGGGGGGGGGGGGGGGGGGGGGGCGGGAGAAGGACGAGGCGGAGGAGGAGGGAGAGAAAGCGCTCCTCGTGATTTGAATCGCTTGTGGTTTCTCGTCCTGGTGTGAGTCGTTCGGGCCCTTTTTCCTGGTGTGAGTCGTTCGGGCTCTTCGTGGTGTGAGTCGTTCGGGCTCTTCGTCCTGGTGTGAGCCGTTCGGGCTTCTCGTGGTGTGAGTTGTTCGGGCCCCTCATCCTGGTGTGAGTCGTTCGGGCCCCTCCTCCTGGTGTGACTCATTCGGGCTCCTCGTGGTGTGAGTCGTTCGGGGCCCGCGTCGTGGTGTGAGTCGTTCGGGCTCCTCGTGGTGCGAGTCGTTCGGGCGCCTCGTCCTGGTGTGAGTCGTTCGGGCCCCTCCTTGTGGTGTGAATCGTTCGGGCTCTTCGTGGTGCGAGTCGTTCGGGCCCCTCGTCCTGGCGTGAGTCGCTCGGGCTCCTCGTGGGGCTTCTTGGGGGCCTCTTGGAGCATATTGGGGCCTCTTGGGGGCCTCCTGGGGGCCTCTTGGGGGCTTCTTGGGGGCTTCTTCGGGCCTCTTGGGGCCTCTTGGGGGCCTCTTGGGGGCCTCTTGGGGGCCTCTTGGGGCCTCTTGGGGGCCTCTCGGGGCCTCTTGGGGGCCTCTCGGGGCCTCTTGGGGCCTCGTGGGGGCTTCTGGAGGGCCTCTTGGGGCCTCTTGGGGGCCTCTGGGGGGCCGCTGGGAGGCCTCTTGGGAGCCTCCTGGGGGCCTCTTGGGGCCATTTTGGGGCCTCTTGCGACCTCCTCAGAAGCGCAAATGAGAGCTGCCCCCCTGAGAAGGACAAAATGAGCCCAAAACCTTCGTAAAGTCAATGATTTTGCTATGAAGGGCGATGAGCGCTGCCCCCATCAGGCCACAACCCTAGTAAAATCATTGTTTTGGGCTTCAAAGAAGAGCAGAGGGGCCAAACTCCCCCCCCCCCCCCCCTCGGGGCCAGAATCCTCGCAAGGGTCGTCGTTGTTTGGCCCTCCGAGGAGTTGAAATTGACCCCCTCCGCCACCACCCCGGAATCCCTGTCCAGGTCCAGGGGGAGGGGGTGGGGGGAGGGGTAAACCCCTCCCCGAAGGGGAAGATGGGGGGTTGAGGACAGAGAGAGCTCTCTAAACCACTCACGCCCAAAGGGCTGGTGGGATTATGCCAAGAGTAAACAAACTGTTCAGCATGGCGTTGCTTGAGCGGCTGCAGCCACATTTAGAAGCGCAGCAATCTGCCGGCCAAGCTGGATTTCGAAAAGGATTTGCATGCGATGGCCACCTTCTCACATTGGTGCAATGGCAGGAGAAAGCCACGGAATTCCGCATGGACATTGTGATCGCAGCGGTAGACTTCGAAAAGGCTTTCGACTCCGTCTCGCGCAAGAGCCTCTGGGAAGCTCTGCGCGCGCCACAAGCTCCAGAGAAATCTGTTCGAGTCCTCTCGCGTCTGCACGCAGGGCAGACGGCCCAGGCGCGCTCCGACTGCAACAGTCGAGTATATCGCCTCGAGAGAGGGACGCGGCAGGGAGATCCGCTGAGTCCAGCTCTGTTCAATTCCCTCCTGGAGCATATCATGAGAGATCAAACATCGGCGTGGGATACGCATCGACGGCGCGTTTTTGACCGACCTTCGATTTGCCGACGACGCGCTGCTGATAGGCTCAACAAGGGCAGACGTTCGACACATGCTGCGCGGCCTGCAGTCAGTGGCCGGCGCGCGCGGGCTGAAGCTCCACGCGGGCAAGACCAAGATTCTGCCGCGTGTCGAGGTCAGGAAGGGCGTCCTCAAGCAAGGAAGCGCGAAGGTGGGCGAGGACTTCATTGATGTGCTGCCTTTTGCCGGGGCCACAGTGCACCTGGGAAGATTGGTCTCCTTCTGTGACATTCGCGGCGCTGAGGTGCAGCGTCGGATCTCTCGCGGGCGGGCAGCCTTCGGGAAGTACAAGCACGAGCTGACGAATATCCACTACCCGCTCAGGTACAGGATGCGCCTGTTCAGCGCCGCGATGCACCAACCGTACTATACAGCAGTGGTTGCTGGACCATGACCGCAGAGAGGGCGAAGCGGCTCCAGACGGCAGAAGGGCGGATGTTGCGGAGGATCATACCCGCGCGGAGGATTCAACGTGAGTTCGTGGATATGAGCGCAGGGCCGGAACCATGGGTGGATTGGATTGTCCGCGCAACGCATCAGGCTGAGAACACTTTCCGGCGAGCTGGATACCGCAGTTGGATTGATCAGCGGCAGTCCAGGAAACAGGCGTTGACAGAGAAAACGGAGAGTCGCACCGACGGGCGGTGGTCGACCAAGCTTCTGAGTTGGACCCCTCAGGGCACTCGCCTGCCCGGCCGTCCATGCAAACGCTTCAGCGATTGAGCTTGATGCCTTCTTTCACCCACTTGAAGTGTGCGCGTGCTGCATCTCACTGCACAACAACCGCCAGGGTGAGCTTTTGTTGATTTCACCACGACGGATTCTTGCACATTTGCTTTTCCAGCGAGCCCGACCGCCCTCCAGGGGCCCGGGCGCGGGCGACCCGCGCCGCTGCTTCCGCTTCCGCTTCCAAAACGTTCGCCTGTTGCAGATGCGCATGTCCTGGCTTCTCTTTCTGAGCGCAGTTCCACCCGCGGGCGCGGGGTCGCCGTCAGGCGCTTGCAGCAGACAACGCCCATCGCCGACGAGGGGCCCGATTCCCCCGCCCGCCCAGGCACGCGCGGATCCGCTATCGGGGGCCCGTCGCCGTTCCCTCAGCGATGCGCCGCCGATTCCAGGTCGATGATCGACGTCCCGCTCCCATTGAATCGCCCCTCCCAAAGTTGCCCCGCGTTCCTTGGAGGGGCGGGCCGGGCCGAGCCGCCGAGGGCGCGCGGGTGGAAATCGAGATTGCCTTCCAGGGCCCACGTCGACTCGACCGATCTGATTCGAGGTTGTTTCCAGCCACCCCGGCCCGATCCCCTTTCGATGCTCCGGCGATCCGACGCGGCCTGGTATTTGCGCGGCGTTGTTGCGCATTGTGGCCGTTTCGATTCGACTCCCACTCCGCGCCGACGCCGACGGGGAGGAGTGATTTAAATGGTGCAGGCTTTGCGGCCGGCGCCGCCGACCCCGATGACCGGTCTTCCCCCGTATCCCCTGCCAACGCCCCCCTCCTGCATGTCCGCCGGGACCTTGGGGGGGGGTGGCATCCTGACCCGGGACCACCCTCCCCCACCAGAGGCTGGGACCCCCCCTGGAATCCCTCCTTGGGACTTTCCTTTTTCACAGGAGGGCCTTTTACATGTCCTCTTTGTCCACAGAGGCGGCCAGGGATGGGTGACGAACTCATCGCCCCCCCCCCCCATCCTCCCTTCTGGCAAACATCTAACCATCATTGCCGCCCTTGGAAGTGATATCCCCCCTCCTTCCAGCGGCACCTGTGGCTCTCGTTTCTGCGCTGCGCGCGCTCCTCTTATGAGCCCGGCGCGACCCCAACTAGGGGGGAGTTTTCTACTGCATGGGCGCAGTGTTTGGCAGTGCGCGGCATTGTTTGGCATTGCTTCGCGTTGCTTGGCGTTGCTTGGCATTGTCTGGCATTGCTTGGCTATGATTGACAATTCTTCGCGTTGCTTGGCATTGCTTCGCATGCTTCGCATTGCTTCACATTGCTTGGCATTGCCTGGCGTTGCCTGGCTTTGGCACTGCTTGGCGTTGCTTGGCGATGAACCCAGGGGACCCGGGGCACCCGAGGAACCCGAGGAACCCGGGGAACCTGGGCAATTTGAGGAACCGGCGGAACCCGGGGAACCTGACGAACCCCCGGAACCCCAGGAACCCGAGGCCCCGGAGGAAACCAGGAAACCCGACGAGCCTGGGGAACCTCCAGAGAATTGGCAAAGTAGCCACCCGATGCACCAATTTTCACTCAGCAAGAACCCCGTAGGCAAGCCGAATTGATGGAAGAAGCCTTAACCGAAACGCTGCCGGGGAGCATTACATTATTGGATCGCCAACCCAAACAACAGGAATGTAGGATTCGGCGTTGGGGAATGTTCGGAATGTACGTGCCTACACATTCGCGCATGAACCCGCAAACCCCGTGGGGGCAAAAAATTGCAGCGAATCGTACTTCGGCCACATCAGGAATTCAGCTTTACAAGATTGCCGGACCCCTCGGGCTCTGTTCTGGTGGGGCGGGGTAGTGGTTCGAAAGGTGGACGCATCACGAATGCAAGCTTTCAGACTTGCCTCGTCCCCCACCCTCCGCGCACGAGGGATAGGGCAGCGGGCCAAAACAACAACGGACAAGGCAAGCATGCGTATTCACATTTTGCCCACGCCCGCCAGACTCCATGGAGGGGGGCTCGGGTGGCGGGTCGAAGCACGAGCAAACTCAGGCCGTCCCGGGTCCCTCCTGGGGCCGCCCGGCGGGGCCCCCCCCTGCAGCCGCCGGCGCGGACAGGCCGCAGCGACCTGGGCGCGGCGGTGCTCCGCAAGTCGGAGCAGGTGCTCGAGGGTCGGCCGCCCGCCAGGGGCGGCCCAGGCGCCTCGCAGGCGTGGCCGCGCCGCTCCCGGGGGGGCGCGCGGGGCGATCGGAGGGGGCGTGGCGGGGAGCGGCGGAGAGGGGGGCGAGGAGGAATGGGAGGGGGGAGGAGGAGGAGGAGGGGGGGCGAGGAGGAGGGGCGCGCAGGAGATGGGGGGGGAGGGAAGGGGAGGAGGGGCAGGAGGGGCAGTAGGAGGAGTAAGGAATACGGAGGGGGAGTACGGAGGAGGAGGAGGAGGAGGAGGAGGAGGAGGAGGAGGAGGAGGAGGGGTCTCCCTTCCTCTTCTTTACCCTGTCTGGCTCTCCTCTCCTGCACTTGTTCCGCTCGGTTTTTCCGGCTCCTGGCTCCTTCTCTGTCCTTCCCTCCCTGGGTTCGCGACCCCCGAAGCCTTGGGCGGCGGCTCGCGCGCACCTCCCTGCACTCTTCCGCCGTAAGCGGCTTCTTCTCTTCACCGCCCCAGCGGTTCAACACTACCAGCCTGTGCCCGCGGCGCGGCCTGCGGAGGCAAATCAAGAGGAGGAAGAGGAAGATGAGGAGGAGGAGGAAGAGGAGCCCCCTCTTCCTTCCCCCATAGTGCCTGTCCCGTTGTAGTTTTGTTGTCCTACATGTTTCACCACTGCTCGTACCCCCACAGAGGGAACAGCCCCTGGGTGGGTCGGTGGCTGCGTCGACTTCGACCCGAGAGCCAGCATCAAACATGAGGAGAAGGAGGAGGAGGAGGAGATGTAGAGAGATGAAAAGTCACGAGGAGGAGGAGGAGGAGGAGGAGGAGGAGGAGGAGGAGGAGAAGAATGAGGAGGAGTAGCGAGGAGGACTAAGGAGCAACGAGGAGGAGGAAGGGGGGAGTAAGAAAGTGGAGTAAGGAGGAGGAGGAGGAGGAGGATGAACAGCAAGGAGGAGAAAGGAGGAGTAGTAAGGGAGGAGGAGAAGAGGAGGAGTTGGAGGAGGAGGCCGAGGACAAGGACAAGGACGAGGAACATGAGGTGATCGAGGACAGGCCGCTTGCGAGGGTCGGGGTGGGGGGGCGGGGGCGAGGCGCCTCGCAGGAGCAGCGGCCCCGCTTTGGGACCACGCGCGCTCGGCAGCCGGGCGGAGGGCATGAACTCTTTCTCCGGCAGCGCCAGCGGGCGCGAGGGCCGGGCCACAGGCACCGCGTGGTCTTCACCATCTTTGGCGACCTGATCTGGACACTCTGTGGGTGGTGTGGATCCGAACCATTCGGCGACCTTGCGCCTCCCCCTCCCCTTTCGCTCAATGTCGAAACGCCGAACAAGAAAACGCTCACATTGCAGGAATGTGGGCGCAAGGTCAAGGCCAAGGTCAAGCCCGTGCGCCGGAAAGCGGGCCCATGAAGGGCGTCGGTCGGGCGTTGCGTACCAGGGGGGGCGCTACATGGGGAGGCGAAGAAAGGTGCACCTAAAGGGGCCCAGAAGGTGCACGAAATGTGCACGTCTCTTCGCCCGCAACCCTCATGGGCGCATGCGGTGGCGCACGGCAGCGCACGGCAGCGTACCGCGCGCGCCACGATGCTAGGAAGCAGTACGCGCGTCCAAAAGAGGGGGGCCCGTTCACAAGGCGCAGCAGAAAGCTTGAAAGTCTTTGGCTCGCCGTTGGAGAACATCTGGAGACCAAGAGCGCCTCTGAGAGCCGAACATAAGGCCGTCTGTTTCTCTTGTTCCGACGGTGCGCACCTTTTTATTTGCTTGCATTGTACGTCTTTCGTCTCCACTGGCACACCGCAGAAGTCCAACCTGTAATTACCGACTTCGGTGCAAAGGATTTCGCGACAGCCGACAGCAGTGGAAGTGGAATCGCGACCTCCACGGCAAAGACGGGATCAAAGTTTTCATCGAGGCTCCTGAGGACGACGCCCCAGGAGATTGCGTTCAGCACCCGCTTGCCGATGCCACAGCCTCGGGAGACGACGGCGCATCCACACGTAGTCCAGCACCAGTCGAGGTACAAGCTGCCGACAGCAAGGCAGACGTCAGACCTCTCGACCCCGCCAGCTGCGCTACCCCACCTGCCGTGCCAGAGCATCCTGTCAGTGTTGTGCGAGCTTTAGGCTCTCTGGTGGAGGATGCTCTGGATCGACAGGAGGACGAATCTCCGCTGGTAATTCGCTCTGTGCAGTCTGGCCTTTTGCCTGAGGCCTGCCAACCTGGCGCCTCGCATGACATGGGGCGAACATCGCCACCGTTGCGTACTGCGACAATGCCTGTTGCGAGGCTCGAGCCGACTCGAGCTAGCTCCCTTCGCGGCAGTTCAGTGTTGGAAGAGGCCGCTGCCGACAGCGAGCCCTCTGCCGTTCCTTGCGCCGACGCGGCCTGTGAAGCCCCTTCGGTCGTGCCAGAGCATCCTTGTGGTGTTGTGCGGACCTTGAGCCCTCAAGAGAAGGACGCTCTGGAACGACAGGAAGATGAAGCTCCGCTCGTCTTTCTTTCTGTACCCTCTGCTCCTCGCGAGGCCAGCCAGCCTGGCGCCCCGAGGCAGAGCGGGCGAACACCGCCCCACTTTCGCATGGCAGCACCGCCTGCAGCGAGCTGTGCAGCCCCACCCCTAGTGCCAGAGCAACCCGCTCCTGGTTTGAGGGCTGTTTTGGGAAGTGCTGGGGATGCCCAGGCACTAGGGGACGATGTGGCGCCGCTCGGGCCTGTGCCGCTCGAGCTGCTACGTTTCAAGAGGAAGTGCGGCGCCTCCTTAGAGCTGCAGGAGGTCTTCCGCCGCCTGAGGCGACGGGGAGCGGGGGGGAGGTCTCGGACGAGTCAGACTAGGCCACGGGGGCCACGTTCGTGCGATCCCCCATCGCTCTCTCCTGCAGCTGGCGCTGCGTGGAGGTGCAGCCGTCGCCGCCGCAGCTTCTCCCTCTTGGACTGGCCTGAACTGCTGGCCAGACGCGGCTGGAGCCCCTCGGGCCGAACAAATCCTCCTCCTCCCTCCTTTTCGTCCGAGGACCAAGCTTCGAGGAGATTCAGGAGGGTCCCGATGTTCAGCGTGTACAGCGCTGATATTCTCAAAACTCTGCGTTTGGGGAAGTTGTCTGGGGAGTGTGGCGCGCCCGCGCGGCACTGCCCGGGCACAACTTCTCAAAGGAGGAGGCGCGAGGGAAGGCGCGGGGGGCTCTCTTGCGGGGCAGCCCCTGCTCGGAAGGACCTTGGTGTTTCCAACTGGGGGTTCTCTGAAGCCAGGGGGGGCATCTCACAGGCCACCTGCATTCTGAGAAGTCCCCAGGGTGGTGGGAATTGCGCCTGCACGCTGACACAATCTAGGCCTCCCAGGCCCAGACGGGGTCGGAGTAGATGGGGTCGGAGGATCGCGCTGCATCACCGATGCATCGACGATGCGTCTCGATGTGAAGCCCGATTTGCTTCACGTTGACACCACCGATGCATCGTCGACGTCATCGATGCATCGCCGGTGCATTGCCGATGCATCGCTGACGCATCGCCGATGCATCGTCGAAGTATTGGCGATGCGGCTTGATCCTCCGACCCCATCCACTCGTACCCCATCCAGGAGGCCTCTATACACAAGACGCTTACAAGACCATCATGGACCAGTGGGCCCAGCATCGTTTGACCGATCCCCTCCCCGATTCGGCACCCTCCCACCAAGGCAGGGATAGTTCACGCGAAACCCGAAGGAAACAGCATGTAGCGGGGTCAAGGCTATTGAGACTGTGTCTCGGCGTACCAATGCTCAGTTGCATCGTGAAGACGTAATCCACGATTCCACGATGCGGCGGCCACAAAAGAAGCACAGAGAGAGAGAGAGGGAGAGGGAGAGAGAGACAGAGAGCTGGTCTTGGCCGCGCAGTGCGTTGGCGGCGCGCGACGGCACGCGCATCGGCCAGCTGCCGCTGAATGTTGCCACGGCGTTACTGGCAAGGCTGTGTGTGCGCATTCGGCAGGACGCAGCGGGCCCCGCGGTCAGACCCTGCCGAGGTCGAGAGAGAGAGAGAGAACTCGAGTAAAATTATGAATGGTAACACCATTGCGATGAATACGTAACCCGAATCACTCGATGAAGACGTCGCCTCACTGAGGTCTGTGCGGTTTGGTTCGATACATCTGCAGACAATACCCCCATCCCTAGTGTTCCTGGCCCTCATAACTTAGGTCCCTTCCCAAAGAGTGAGTCTGCTGAATCCTAACATCTACACAAAAAAAACAATGAACAGCCCCGCTTCTGGGCGGCGCCGCGGCAGGTGCTGGCCACCGACGTTGTGGAGTCCTTCGGCGCGTTGCGGTGCTACCTGCACGAGGTGGCGAGCTGCTTGGAGCGGGTGGACCCGCGCCCGCCTCAGCGCGCTGGCCCAGGGGGGAGCACTTCTTTTTGTTCATCCCTTTTCCTTGTAGGTAATTCTTCCCTGTCGCACCCCCGCACGTGTGGGTAGTCGAGAAAGAAACACACCATAAACATGAACTTCGGGCGCTCCGCCCGGATTTCGTGGATCCGCTCTGGGCCCCCCCCCGGCGGCGCCTCCAGCCCCGCCCCTGGCGCGCTCCACGCGCCAGGGAGGGGGGCCCAGCGCAGATCCAAGAAACCCGCGCGGAACGCAAAAATTGTATTGGAGCGCTTGCACGGAATTCTAGACGTTTCGCGTATCACCACCAGCGTGTTAGTACACTTGCAGTCGCTTCCGGGCCTGACCTATGCGTGGCTCGTCTTGGACATTTGCTTGCATGGACGCTGTGTGGACGCTTTCTGCCCCTGGCCCTGGCATCCACACTCAGTGCAGCTTGCAGCCTACCTGAGGCGACGCTTAGGCAGCTAGTTGTTTAGGTTACGCCGCTCTAGCTTGCTCCTGTTTAAATTAGTAGGCCCGCGCCCCGGACTTACGACTCGCCGCTTGCGCTCTCGCCTGCCGCTGCGACCAAACAAAGTATCCCCACCAGCCTTCGCAGTAGTCCGGGGGCTTGCGCCCTTGCACCTAATTCCCGTCTGCAGCTTTCCCTGGTTGCGGGTTACCCTGGCCGCCCGCCGCTTCCGACTCGTTGCGCGTGGCTTTGGCAGTACTGGTGACCCGCCTACCGCTTGCCCTCTCCATTCGACGGCCAGCCGCTGAGGTGCTGCGTGAGGCTCTGCCCCACCGTTTTAGGTTAATTCGTCTGTGCGCGCCCCGCTCTGACTGGACTCGCCGCTGGCGCGCTCGCCTGCGGCCGCTGACAAAAAAGTGCCCCACCAGCCCGTCCAGAAATGAGGTTCAGGGGAGTGGAGGTGATGAGGGAAGCGGGGGACATGCTGAACAACAAAAGGCGGGGTAAGCCGACATGCGCCCCAATATGGGGGAGGATGTAGGAGTCGTCGTCGTCGTCGTCGGAATAGGAGGAGGAAGAGGAGGAGCAGGAGGAGGAACAGGAGGAGGAGGGGGAGGAGGAGGAGGAGGAGGAATATGAGGAGGATGACATCGAGGAGGGCGAGGACGAGAAGGAGGAGAAGGAGGAGAAGGAGGAAGAGGAGGAGGAGAGGGAGTGGGAGGAGGAAAAACAAGAGGAGGAGGAGGAGGAGGAGGAGGAGGAGGAGGAGGAGGAGGAGGCTGAGGAGGAGGACAATGGCGAGCTTGGGGGCCTCTTGGGCCGTCTTTGGGGCCTCTTGGCGGTCCCCGGGGGCATCTTGCGTATCTCGGGGAGCCTCTTGGGGCCACTTGGGGTCTCTTGGGGGCCTCTTGGAGGCCTCTTGGGCGCCTGTTGGGGCGCTCTTGGGGCGCTCTTGGGGCGTTCTGGGGGGCCTTCGGGGCGCTCTTGGGGCCATGTTGGAGGAGATCTATCAAAGCAGGGGGGTCGTATATTAGGCTTGCCCTTCATAGAGTGCCTCGAATCGTCGCTTCGTGGGCCCCTCGTGAGGCGATCTTGGAACGCTCTTGGGCGCGCTTGGGGCCGTCTTGGGGCTCTCTTGGGCCTCTCTTGGGGCCCTTTTGGCCAATCTTGGAGCCATCTTGAGGCCTGCGAAGGCCATCAGAAGCGAAAGAACGAGAAAGCCAACAACATTGATTTTCCTTAGGTTTTGGCCTGATGTTGGCCTCTCGAAAAGCTCCGTGGGGAGCTCTGTGGCCACTTGGGGCCGTCTTGGTGCGGTCTTTAGGCCTCTTGGAGCATCTTGGGATCCATCTTGAGGCATCTTGCGCTACCTTGAGCCATCTTGGAGGCTATCTTGGGTTCTATGAGGCCCTTTTGGAGCCGTCTTGGGCCATCTTGGACGCCCCAACGACCCGCGGAACCCTCCGCCCAGGTCCAGGGGAGGGGGTAGGGGGAGGGGTTAACCCCCCCCCGAGGGGGAAGGAGGGGGTTGGAAGAGGAAACTCTCTAGACCACCGACGCCCAGAGGGCTGGTGGGATCGTCTGCCGCCCCTATCGCCCTTTTTCCAGTCTCAAGTGCATGAGCGTGGGCCAGGCCATGGCCCTGGGCGCCATCGCCGCTTTGGCGGTGAGCGCCGCGGTGGGCGCGCCCGCGGCCTGGGCGGGCTTGCGGCTGGCGGCGGTGGTGGCGTCCTCCACCACCTGCCCTGCCTGCGTCTGCCATGCGCCTGCGTGGGCGCCCGCGCCGCCGCCACCGCCGCCACCGCTTGCAGGGCCTGGCGCCGAGGGGTTCGCGGCGGCGGTCGCGACCGAGCTGGTGCCCCTGCTGGTGAAAGGGTCGCCCGCGCCGGCGGTTTGTCCCTCGGCGGAGGCGGTGGCCGCGGCGCTGCTGGAAAGGCTGCCTTTGGCAGCTGGGGCCGCGGGTTCTTCGGAGGCGGCGCCGCCGCCCGTAGCTGGCCCAGCCTTGGAGCCACAGCGAGGCGCAGGCATTCTCCTGGCCTGGACTGTTGCGGTTTCGGAGCTCATCGTGTGGTCTACTGTTGCGCCGCTGCCTGCCGCCGACGCCATGCTGGTGTCTCGCCGCCGCCGTCGCGGGACGGGCGTGATCTGGCCGAACGGGTCCTCCGCCGAGGTGGATGTGTTGCGCGCTGGGATCCGACTGGGTTTGAGACTGGGGTTTGGTGCCCGCGCGATACTGTGTGGCACTATAGGCTGCTGCTGTACCTGGCAGGAGGGACGTATTGGTGGGTGCTGGCGCCCGACGCCGATACGCACGTTGAGGACGTCGCTGGCGTGGTAGACGACGGCTGCAGCAGGGCTTTTGCTTGCAGTCCCGCTGGTGTGGCGCCCTCAGTGGCGCACGATCTTCTACAGTTTCGTGGAGCCCGTGCCGCTCGCCCGCCTTCGCGCACTCGTGCAGCGTTCTCGGTCAGCGCGGGGCGAGCACGGCGCGGGCGTGGGCGAGCCCGAGCAGTTCTACGCGTGGGAGGGCGAACTGCAGCCTTTCGCGGACCTGCGGCACCGCCTCCCTCTGCGCGGGGCCGCCAGCGCGGTCGGCGGTACGGCGACGAGTTGTTCACAAGGAAGAGGGAAAGAGCCTGCGGAGGATCACGGAAGAGGAGGAGGAGGAGGAGGAGGAAAGTGGAGGAAAGTGGAGGAAGGAGGAGGACAGAGTAGGAAGAGGAGCAGGAGGAGGTGGAAGAGGAGCAGAAGGAGAAGAAGGAAACGAAGGGTGAGCAACGATAGCGAAAACAGGTTTCGTCGTGCCGCTTATGGCTGCTGGCGTCGCACCCCGCCCAACTGGCGCGTCGCTTTCCCTAGAGGGAGCACGTTGTGACGCCTGCGCGCGGGCCGTTGACGCCGGGCACCAGCATCTTGCTGGCCAAGTCCAGTCCCCAGCCGACACCATCTGGGCGTTGGCCTGTTCCTTTTCCTCTCCCTCCTCTTCTCCTCTCCCACCTTTCCTATAATTCTTCACATGTCGCGTGTCCCCACCAGCCCATCCAGAAGCCCGGCCCACGAGAGCTGACGGGAAAAAGGGACGAAGGGACACATCTAGGGAAACAAAGCGAGCAACCAGGGTGAACCGAAAGATCTCTGGGAGCAGCGGGGTGGCCTTGGAAGGCCTCTTCGGGCTATCCCTGGGGGCCGCTTGTGGGCGAGGGGAAGAAGAGAAGGAGGAGGAGGAGGAGGAGGAGGAGGAGGAGGACGAGGACGAGGAGGACGAGGACGCGGATGAAGACGAGGTCGAGGAGACAAGGACTAGGATGAGAACGACGCGGACGAGGACTCATGGAACCATCTAGAGGTATGATTGCGGCTGTTGCTGCTGCTGCTGCCAGCGCTCTCTGGGAGTTTTGAGGGCCTTTTTGAAACCCTCTTGGTAACCCTGGAAGGCTTCTTGGGATCATCTTGGAGGCCATCGATTGCAGGATCAGGGGGTCCCCAATTCAGCTCCCCCACAGGAGACCGCGAACCGCTTCTTGGGGCTCTCTTGGGGCGCTTTTGGGCGCTCTTGGAGCGGTCTTGGGGCCGTTTAGGGCATTTTGGGAGCCATCTTGAGCCAGTTTGGGCTACCTGAGCCATCTTGGAGGTCATGTTGGGTTCTCTGAAGCCGCTCTGGGGCCTCTTGGGGCAGTTTTGGGTGCCTCTTGGGACCCTCTTGGGACCCTCTTGGAGCCTTCGTGGGGCTCTCTTGGGGCTCTCTTGGGAGCCCTGGAGCGCCTCTTGGGGCCATCCTCGAGGCTATCGATCAAAGGAGGGAGGGTCCCAATCGAGGTCCCGTTTCGGGGGCCACGATCCTAGTGGGGGGTGTCAAACATTGGCCATCCCAGGTGCCGAAAAAGGGCTCTCCAACCAAAAAGGTCCAGGTGAGGGGGTAGGGGGAGGGGTCAAGACTCCCTCCCCGCCCGCAAGCCGTCTCGCTCACTCCCACCCGCCTCCCAACACATACGTAACACTCGAGCCTGGCCCGAACCGCAGCATATTCAGCAGTCGTCTTTGGATGGGCAGCTACTGGGGGCGAATCCGCCGCCGCCGCCGCCGCCGCCGCCGCCCGCCGCCGCCGCCGCCGCCGCCGCCGCCGCCCCGCCAGCCGCCGCCGCCGCCGCCCGCCGCCCGCCGCCGCCGTCCGCCGCCGCCGCGCGCGCCGCCGCCGCCGCCGTCGCCCCCGCTGCGAATCGCCGCCGCCGCAGCCGCTGCCGCCGCAGCCGCTGCCGCCGCAGCCGCTGCCGCCACCGCTGCCACCGCCGCCGCCGCCACCGCCGCCGCCGCCGCCTCCGCCGCCGCCGCCGCCGCCTCCGCCGCAACTGCCGCAGCCGCTGCCCCCGCCGCAGCCGCCGCAGCCGCCGCCGCCAAGTGTACTCAGTATTGTTTTTGACAGGGATGGTGGGGGGAGGCCGCATCGGGTTCGCTGCGCATGCTCCGAATTTGGAGGCAGAATGTGTTTTGTATTGTTTTTACAGGAGATGGTGGAGGGGGGCCCTCATTGTCCCTGGTTGGCTCCGTGCCGCCTTGGGGCGGTGGTGTACATTAATAGGGAACAGTGATAAACCCCTCCCCGAAGGAGGAGAGGGTTTTTGGAAGAGGGAAGAAAGTCATCGTGAGACCACCTACGCCCAGAGGGCTGGTGGGATTCCTCCTGTCCTCTCCCTCCTCTCCTCCTGTTCCTTCTCCTCCTCTTTTCTTTCCCTTGTTCCTCCTTCCCACCTCCACTGCTTCCCCATCGAGCAAGGCCCGTCACCCTACCGACGGTAGTGGTTCGCCTGCACGCAAGGACTGCGCGTCCGTGCCAGGCTGGACAGGGGTAACTAGTCTGTCCCCGCAGCGGCGTGGGTCCGCCTTCGGACGCGGACGCATCCAACAGAGGGACGGAGGAGGTGTTGCGGGCGCAAGGCAGGTTCCAGAGTATCACCGTTCTTGCCCGTGCGTTGGCGGATCGCCTGAGAGCCCGAGCGCGGCCCGTGGACCTCGAGGAAGAGTGGGGCGATTTGCTGGAAGCGTCAGCCCAGCACGATTTCGAGGCGACGAAAGCGGCAACCGGCGAGGCGCAATGCGAGGTGTTGCGCGCGCTAGGTGGGGGCCGCTTCCAATTTATCGTATCCAGATGTCCCTCGACGCCGCGGCGGGAACGGTTCTTTTGTGGGGGCTGATGCGTTGTAGGTTCATGATGTTCCAACCTACTTCAGCCTTGATCTTCAGAAAGAGATTCGAGCACCAAGGAAATAGCAAATTTAGAGGGTTTTCACGTCGGGCCCTGGGAGGCGATATTCATTCGACACTGCTTCGGTAATTTTCGGGGTGCTCGCAATTAATTGTGAGATGTGGTCCTTAAGTACGATAGGAGCAACATAACTTTGGGCGCAGATGCGGCCGCCGTTCGGACCTCCCGTGCTGGAACTCCCCCCGTCTCCTCCTCCATACCTACTCCTCCACCTCCTTCTCCTCCTCCTCCCTCTTCCTCCTGATCCTCCGTCCTCCTCCCCTCCTCCTCCTCCCCTCCTCCTCCTCCTCACCTTTCTTCCTCCAGCCACTTGGACCAATGATATCCGCAGAATGTTGGGCCATGGGGAGGGTGGGCACAGTTTTCTGTTTCGCGCCCATGATGAGTCATTCGCAGATCAAGTCAGTCCTGTCCCTTCTTTGGAGGGGTACCCTAGTGTTGATGCTTGGGCTCGCAACTTGGTATGGGACCTTAAGGGGCCCTCAGGACTCTTACCAGGAGTCAGAATGCGTCCATGCACTGCCTTGGAGAAGTAATGCAGCCTTCATGGTAGATGTGTTTGTTTTCGTCGCCTTCGGTTTTTCGTTGGTTTGGCCTCCAGGGGCCGTTTTCTGGCCCAGGACCCTCAGACACGGACTTGAAATGAAGAAGCACTCCCAGGGAAGTGCCCGACACGATTCTTCGACGCGACCTGCAAAAATTGCATCACTTTTCCAGGAAGGGCAGGCAGCCGATGAAGGATCTTCATTACATTATGAGTAGAAGCCTCATACGACTCATCAGGATGACCCATCTGTCGTTGAAACTATGTATTCTTAGATTCCCAGATTCCAGTCTACTTAAGGCGCATTCCTCCTTCAAGGGTCGAGTGGTTTCCTTCTTCGCTCGTCTTCATGCTGACTTCATGTCTTTACCTAGTTATTCCGACCGATTGGTAGTCTCTGTAGACAGATGCAGGATTGAGCAGCAGCAGCAGAAGCGACAGCGGGAGGATCAGGAAGAGGAGGAGGAGGGGACATGCGGTTTGGGGTGGACCGTCGCAGGCATTTGTGCAACAACCCCGGGCTCGTGGCCCGGCTCGTGGACTGGGAGGAAAGCTGGGAAGTGGCCACGCAGTACATGCAGCACGAGGGCGGGGCGGCCTAGCAGCTGGTCGCCTCCTGGCAAGCCATCCTCTCGTCCCGCCTGTCCCTCCTCGTCATGTTCCTGCTCCTCCCCTGGCAGGCCGCCGTTCAGCCTGGGCACGGCAAGCTGAAGATAGCAGACGATAGCGGTCACAACTGCTGAAGCAGCTTGGGGCGTATGTTTTCTTTTCTGCGGAAATCGAACCTCACGCTGAACTTAATCTCGGTTGAAAAGCGGCGGGTCCGAAAGAAAACATTCGGAACAGTAACGCGGGTCTTCATCGTTCGCCAGGAGCGTTGGAGCGATAAGGTCACAGAGGTGAGCAATGCAACCGAAGTCTAAGATGACACTCGGGCGCGTTGGGTGTTGGAATCCACTGCCCCTCTGTTCTGAGGTTGTTGTACAGGAGGGGGTACAGAGGACAGAGTGTTTAAACAGCTTGGAGGAATTAGTGAATTCAGTATAGGTTGGGCTTGAAGTGCCTCGGAGAAAGCTCACGCACCGGAATCGCAAGCATATGGCTAAATGCGGACCGAGGACAGTTTGGTTCCTGTCGTCGTCCTCGCCGTTGCTCCGCCCCCCTCCTTTCTTCCCCCCCCTGGATGGTGTCGAAAACGTCCGCGGCTCGGGCGGGTGAGGGCCTTTTTTCCACCTCCCCCAGTATTCCTCGTTCCTCTTTGCCTCCCTGCTCCACCGTCCGTCGTCCTACCTCATCTTCCCTCCTTGTTCGGAGAAAGGAGGTGAAGTCCCTGGTGCCGCGTGCCCGCATTTGAGCCCTATTGATATCCGAGCACAGCGGCGCAACCAATCAGAGTGTATTGCAAATGTAAGCGTTCGGGGCGCATTCCAAACGCGGGCGGCACGGTCGCCAAACACAGACAAACCGTCAACATGTAAATGTATAGGTGCCTGCGGCAAAGTCCGCCCCTTTTGCCAGCGCAGCGGTCTGTATGGCGACGCGTGGAGCTCTCACGATTCAGAGGTTCGTGACGTGTGACACCTATCGTGCTCTCGGAGTACTGTGCGGTTTTTTTGGGGGGTCTTTCGGGGCCCTTTTTGGGACGTTTTCGGGCCGTCGGGGGCCGCTTTGGTGCCGCATTTCACCGTGGCCGCCCTGGGCCAGGGAAGCGTGTATCTGCAGTTTTTTTCAGGGGCGCCCTGGGCCGGGGAAGTGTCTTTGAACTTCCTCGGATCTATGCATGTCGACTTCGGGTCTGGGTTGGCAAATCGGGGCGCCCTCGAGGTGGCGAGCGTTTACCTTTTTGAGATGCGCAGATCAAGGTGTGATCTGTGTACGCAGCTGGTGCTTGCAACTTTGTATTTTCGTGTGTGGGTCCAGTTTTTACACAGATCCTTGTGATCTGTGCACACAATCTGTGTAAACAGATCTTGTTCCCATCTGTGTATTTGGGGTGTGTCCCTCGCGGGCGGTGTTGGTTGGGCTGGAACTTTCAAGTTTTTCCGTCGGCTGGTCCACTGGGGCGTCGTACGCGGTCGAAATGCACAGCTCGCGTCTCCAACAGTGCATTTGTTGCGCGGCGTTCGCTGGAGTGGTCACTGGGTGGGATTTTCCGCGGATCCCCCGGTTGGCCCAGGAGGAGGTCGTGACCTGGGAGCGCGGAGGCGCGGGGGGTTGGGGATGGTGGGCTATGGGGGGGGGGGTTCGATAGGAGGGGTGGCGAAGGGGCCGGGGATGAAAGGGGCAGGACGAGAAAGGGGGAAATGGGCCCAGGAGGAGCTGCACCATCCGCGTCAGCATTGCGGGGGCGAAGGAGGCGGGGGGGGGCAGAAGGAGGGGGGATGATCTGCACTAGGACGTAGAGGATGGAAGGGGGGCAAGCATGTGGACGATGGGGGAACTCATCCGGCGGGGGGGGACGACGAAGAACGACATGAACTGGCATACGGAGGGCTGGCGATGTGGACGAGGGCATGAAGAGGATTGGAGCAGCCGGGGGGCATGAGGAGGGTGGGGCCAAAACGACGGGATATTGGGAGAAGGCGGGGGATGGGGCATGAGGATGAGGCGGGCGCCAGCTCACGCTTAGCTGATCCGTATTTTGCGTGTCCGTGCATCCCCCAGAACACAGTGATCGGTTGCAGGACTTCACGATCTGGGTAGTCGAGCGCGGCGTGCTTCCAGGCCAAAAGCTCGGGTCCACGACGCTCCTTGGCGTCGCGTTGATGCCGCCCCGCTTTGCCAGACCGCATATGCCAGATCGGCGTTCGATGTGTTCCAACGTTTGTTTCATGACCCTCTCTATAATAACATACCCACGTTGGAATCCAAAGTCGGTGCACGAGCGCGCTCGGATATAGCAGACGAGCGGTTCGAGAAAAGGGCCACCAATGTTTTACGCGTGTCGTTGACAATGCAAATCGCTCGTCCTGGCCCGATGCATGCGCAAGGGACCCCCCCTTGCCGCCGACCCCCATGAACGCAACTGGGGAATGGAAGCTGGTGCGGCGTAGGCGGGGGGGTCAGCGAAGAGCGGCGTGATGCCTGCGAAAGTCCAGTGTCACCAGCGGGGGCGCGAAGACTCGCGCGCCCCAGTCTGGGCCAAAACGTTTCTGTTCCGTTCGTTCCTAAGGGGGCGTCGCGAGGTCGCGATGACTCGAAGCTGATCACGCACCGCGGGGCGCGATGCGCGAAATTAGGAGGAAGAGGTTTAGGAGGACACAAGCGGAGGAGGATAAGGACGAGGAGGACGAGGAAAACGGAATAGGAGGACGGAGGAGGAGGTCGGAGGGGGGAGGGACGAGGAACGGGAGGAGGAGGGAGGAGGAGGGAGGAGGTCTTGGCCTCCTCTTCCTCCTCTTCCTCCTCGTCCCTCCTCCTCCTCCTCCTCCTCCTCCCCGTTTTCCTCAATTTTCCTCCTCCTCGTCGTCCTCCTCCTCCTCCTCCTCCTCCTCCTCCTCCTCCTCCTCCTCCTCCTCCTCCTCCTCCTCCTCCTCAATGTGTGGCCTTCGGGCCTTTTTGGGCCCGGGGTGGTCGAACATCCGGGCCTGTGTCCCGGAGCCACCTGGCATGGAGTTCCCCAGGAGGTTTTATTCAACCTTGGCTTGGGAAAAATTTTCGGGGGCCCCTGAAGGGGGTGGTGACCACACCGTGCGGTGAGTCGGTGGGGATTCGGGGTCACCGCACAGTTTTGGGACACGGGCCGTTTTCCGAGGACGTTTCGGGCGTCTGGGGCATCCGAGGTCCCAAAACCGTGCGTTGACGGACCGTGCGGTGAGGCTTCGAGGGTTTTCGAGGTCACCGCACGGTCCGTCACCGCACCGCACTGTTTCGGGACTCCAAAAAACATTGGGGGGGCGACAAATGAGGGGGGAGAAAGGTGTCCGTTTTGTGCCCTGAAGGCCCTCTCTGGGGTTCTACAGGGCCCCTTTTTTCGGCAGCCCTCGCTGTCCCCCAGTTGTCGCCCCATGTTAATTCGCACTCAATTGGCATGGCAGGCAGTTCGCAGATGTTCGAGAGCCGCGGGTCGTGCGTGACATGCCGGGTGGCGGCTCGGAGGTTGGGGGAGTGCAGAGGAGGGGTGGTGGAGATTTGATTCGAGTGTGGTTGGAGGTTAGATGCGTATGGCTGGAAATCGCTCGCTTGTTACCCCCTGCAGTGCTCTTTGTTCTTCGTGATTCCGTGCTCCTGTTGGGCGTGACATGCGCAGCGGAGTGCGCAACAAACGCCGAGGTGCCTGAGCAATGCGGGGCGTCTTTGGACCCCCACCCCTCCTCGTCCGGAGAGGGTCGGTCAACCTGCGGTAGTTTCGCACCGTGCCGACGCGGCGGCGAACCCAGCGCGGGCGTGCAAGGTTCAACGCCCCCGGCAGCCCGGAGCCGCCCGACATCGAGCGATCCGACAGTCGGGGCGCTGAAGAAGGAACCCGTTTCGTTGGGGAGGGACTCCGTGTCCCTTGATTGTTTCGCAGTTTGCCCTAAGGTTTTCTTTCGGTTCTCGATGGGAAGTCGACGTTTTTTACCCCGTGGGAGAAAGAGGCCTCGCTCCGGATTAGGGTTCCTCAGGTCAACGCCCAGACTGTGTCGGAGAGACGCGATCGTTCAAGGCTGAACGACCCGCGCGGTGCCAAAAGCCAGCGCGCAGGCAGTCGCGGGGCACGAGCCCGCCGCACGCGAGCTGCATCGGGGAGCCCTGGGCTCCCACGCCTCGTCTCGGACGGGGCTAGGATCAAGTCGGGCATGTCCCTCTACAGGAGGAATCTTCAAGTTAAATTATTATGATCCTACAACTGTTCAATATTGTCGAATACTTTTTGATTAGTTTCCTTCTTTCTTCCGAAATCTGCCTGTTGGGGGACATGCCCGACCTAAGGCTAGGACGAGGGTAAATCCGGTCCAGAGCGCTCTGGAACGCTCTCAGTGCGTTTCGGAACGCTCTGATAAGGCCGCGGCGCCCGAGACGTCCCCGAGACGTCCTCCAGAACCGCTGGGTCTCAGAGATTCCCGATTTGTCCTCGCCCGAGTTCTCATCCTCGTCCTGGCTTCGTCTTCATCAGGGAGCTCCAGGCCCCCACGCCTCCTCTGGAGCGCCTTGGCATCGCTCGGACGTGTGCATTTATTTCTCGGCGAGGACCCTGGAGGAGCATCCTGGATCATCGAGCAAACAAAAACACGCACGAAACCGAAAAATGCTCAGGGAATGGACGTCCGAGCTTTCGGAAAGGCGCGGGGTGGCTAAAGGCGCCTCCGGCCCAAGGTGCCCCGCGCTTCTCGCTCCATCTTGGAGCCCCTGGGGCCCCCTGGGCCTCGAGAGGGGTGCTCTGCAGGCCTCGGTGGCCTCCTCGGAGCTCCTGGAGGGCACCTTGGGTTAAGTCGGGCGTGTCCCTCTACATGAGGAAAATTCAAAGATAGTCAAAAAATAGTACGGGGACGATTTTTCTACTATTCATGGTCATTTTGGAGTAATCTTGGACTATTTTCTAATCTTCGTCCCAAATCCGCCTGTAGGGGGACATGCCCGACCTAAACCTTGGGCCAGGGGCACTTCTAGCGACACCCAGCGGAGGGCGGGGTGACTCCTCTTGCCCGTTGGGCCTGCGAATCTGGGAAGCTCTTGGCGCCATTTATTGTTCCCGGGTTTGATTTTAACATTTTTTTGCTGGACCTCCCGAATGTTCAATTCACGAGATGCAGTCGGGCTGAATAAGGAACACTTGCTCTTCAAAACGGGCTCGGGCGTTCCTTAGGTTTGCATGCGTTCCGTTTTTGGGGGGGGGGCGGCGAGCCCCCCCAGTGCCCCTTCGGACTTCATGGGCTTCTTTGGAAAAAAGGGACCTCGTTCCTTATTTGTCGTTCCTTGGGTCTGCGGCCCGTCTGTAGACAACCACCCCACGAAGAATCAACGAACACTCGAGACCACTCCCAGCCTCCAGCTTCTCTGGTGCTCTGGGCGGCCCGCGGACTGCGCGCCGCGCCCCCGGGGCCCGCGGGCTGCGCGGGTTGCGGGCCCGGTGGCGCAGCGGCTCCGAGGAGGCCGCCCCGTGCAGAGCGCCCGAGCCCTGCGAGGCGTAAATCGGACATGTCCCTCCTCAGTGCGGGCGAGGCCGCAAGAAACCCTCGCAAGAAACCCAACCTTGAAAACCCGCGCGCGAGGTGCACCTGAGGGTAAACCCAGAGCGCCCTGAACGCAGCAGCTTCTTCCACGGCTGCGGGAAGTCGCCGCGCAGCGAGCGGAGCAAAGAAACCCAGGATGCCCTGACGAAAAGCAGATGCTTTCTTGATGCACGCCCCCACTGTAGCGATTTCTTTGATTCATTGTTTTGCCGATCGGCGCGGGCCCTCGCAACCCCCCCCCTTCCCCCCCCCATGGAGTAGGTCTTGGCTGTTTGTGGCGCCTGGTGGTGTCTCCCCCCAGAGGACGCACTGTGTGCAAACAGTCGCACTCAGCCGAGGTCCAGAGCGAGATCCCGCCCCCTTCCTCCCCCCCCTTCCGCCCAGTGTCGAAACGCCGAATAAGAGAACGCTCGCATACAGGAGGAATGTCCGAAAACAGTTATGATACCAGAGAAAAACTCAATCGTAATATTTTTAAGGATATAGGGCTATGGGTCTAAAGGGCTATAGGGCTAGAGGGCTAGAGGGCTAGAGGGCTGGAGAGTTAGGGGGCTATGGGCTGGAGGGCTAGGAGGACATGCCCGACCTAATGCGAGGCCCGAGGGCCGGGCGCCCACGCAGCCGTTGAGCAGTGGCGAGGCAGCAGTCCCAGACATGCTCGCGCCGTTGCGACAACATCGGGAGGGGCAGTTTCTGGCCCCTTTTGGCGGGGCCCTCGAGAGCCAAGGTATGGAGCAGATCCAGACGGAGGTTCTTCACCCGTTTCGGCTTCCAGAGGCCCTCGCCGGGCCCCAGGACCGTCAGAAAACGGGTCGGAATGAGAAGCCGGTCCCGGGTAAAGGGTCGGGACTCCGGGGGACCGCGGCGGGAACAAATCAGGATGTCGCATGTCTGGGGCCACATGTTCGATTAGACATGCGGCCTTGGTCTGTGCCAAGGCGAGAGCGACATGCTCCATGAAGGCTGCTGTCGCTGGCGCCTAGGCGACAGCGACGTTTTCAATCCGAGATGCGGCCTGCGCCAAGGCGAGAACGATATGCTCAATGAAGGCTATCGCTGGCGCCCTGGCGACAGCAACGTTTTCAGTCCGAGATGCGGCTTGTGCCAAGGCGAGAACGACGTGCTCAATGGAGGCTCTCGCTGTCTCTTGGGCGACAACACAATGGTTCATCAGACATGTGGCCGGCGCCGAGGCGCCCGTAGGCCCACGAGAGAATGCTCTAAAAGCCTCAGGTGGCTACAGTCGGGGCGCTGAAGAAGGAACCCTTTTCGTTGGGGAGGGGCTCGGTGTTCCTTGATTGTTCTACAGCTTGCCTTAGGTTTTCATGAGGTTTTCCATGGGAGATCGAAGTGTAACTTATGGGAAAAAGGGGCCTCGTTCCTTATTTAGGGTTCCTTAGGTCAACGCCCAGACTGTACTGAGGCCGTTTTGTGTTCGTGCATCGGCTCCGTGTCTTGGGCCAAGGTTTCTGTTCGAAGTGCAGTGTAAGCCCATGCCAAAGAGAAAACCTGCTTGCCTCCAGGGTGCCCTGGGTTTCTTGGGTTTCGATGGTTTTGCCATGGGAAGCATGACGCCGAAACGCCAAAAGTCAATGGATGTCCTGAGGTCTCAGGGCTGGGTCTCTTGTGGAAGGTTTCTCGCGGTCGAGCTCCTACTGTATCTCGGCTCCGTGCTCCGAGGCCAGTGCTTCTGCTCGAAGTATGATGGGCAGTGAGCATGCAGTCAGTGGTCAGTGGTCGGCCTCTAGGAATGCCCGGGCGGCTGGTCCCTCCTCACATCCGGCGACACCCGCCGGGAGAGCTCCGCCGTCGACGTCAGGGCGGGCACGTGGAAGGCTCCCGCAGGTATGCCGGAGCCCCGGATCTGAGGTCGGGGGTGGCGCTCGACATCCGACGATGTAAGTTCTTCAGTCTGCGGCCCCGGATCGAAGAAGAAGAAACTCCTCCTCAGAAGAAGAAGAATAACATAATAATAAAACGCCATAAGCGTACATGTTTGGCGCTCCGCGCGGATTTCTTGGATCCGCGCTGAGCTCCCCCGGCGGCAATTGCGGCGCCGCCCCTGGCGCGCTCCGCGCGCCAGGGGGGGGGGGGCGCCAGCGCAGATCCAAGAAATTTGCGCAGAGCGCAAAACATGTATGCTTATGGCGTTTCTTCTTCTTCTTCTACCAGAGCTCCCGACCTGTTCCCCGAGGCGAAACTTTTCCATCCCGCGTCCATCTTCGGTGGTCTCGGAGGAGCGGCGCCTGGGGCACGGAGTGGAGAAAAGAAGGCGCGTCTGCTCCACGCGCTGGGGCATTGGTTGAGTCTCGCCGATGTGGCAGTCGGCTTGCGCGAAGTTCTGTGGGATGTGTGGCAGTCGGCCTACGCGAATTGCAGTGGAGCTGCTGCTGGGCCAGTTTCGTATCGTACCCCCAGATTTTGTGCTGCGGCCATGGAGCCTGCAGAACCCCGCGGCCGATCGGGGCACGCAAGGATCTCCGCGGCCCGGTCGGTTCGGCTGCGTGGCAGTCCGCTGCGTTCGGTCGCTTCGGTTCGGTCGGTTGTCGTGTCGCTTCTGCGCCGCTGCGCTCTTCTGGGCCGCTTGCGACGTGCCGGCTTCGGCCGGTCTCGGTTTCGTTGCCGTTTCGGCTGGTTCTCGGTCGAGGTCCCTTACAGTTGCAGGACGATCGCTCCAGAACGCTCTCAGGGCGGTCCCGCACTTTTTTTTCCGTCGGCGGCGAGGCAGAGGCAGTCCGCTCCAGCGCGTGGCAAGTCGGGGCCACCGAATGGCCCACTGGCCGGCACCCAAGAGAAGGGGCGAGGGCGAGGGCGGCGGGAGGCGACAGGGCGTTCCCGCACACGGAGCACGATGCATCCTGCAGGCCCGCCCGACCTCCATCCCGGGTCCATCTTGGCTGCGGGCGCCCCGGAGTTTTATGTTCCAGGAGGAACAGAAACACAGACACAAGCAATCGTCGATCCCCCAGGAAGACATGGGCAAACATAGGGAAACGGGGGGGGAGTTCGACAACCCAGAAAACATTATGAGACAACATTGGGAATCGTGGGATCTGTGTGTGCTGTTTTGTGTGTCCCCGAGGGGCCCCCGTCGGCGCCCGCCCGGCCTCGCGGCCTGGCCGCGGCGGCCCCCCCCGGCGGCGGCGGCGCCCGAGGCCTGCACCTGGCCCTCTGCGGCGTGGTGGACGATCTGCGCGAGGCGCGGGAGCTCGCGCCCGCGCTGGGCAGGATGTGCGAGGAGCCCCCTCTCTGGAGGGCGTCTCCAGAGGGCTTCCGCGACCCGTCCTCTTCCTCCTCCTCCTCCTCCTCCTCCTCCTCCTCCTCCCTCCTCCTCCTCCTCCTCCTCCTCCTCTCCTCCTCCTCCTCCTCCTCCTCTGTCTCCTCCTCCTCCTCTCCTCCTCCTCCTCCTCCTCCTCCTCCTCCTCCTCCTCCTCCTCCTCCTCCTTTGTCTCCTCCTCCTCCTCCTCCTCCTCCTCGGGTCGCCTACGGCCCCGGGGGAAACCGTCCACTTTCCCCTCTTCTCCTTCGCCGGCCACGCGCAGAAGGGGGGGCAGGGGGAAAGGGGGAGGCTTCTTAGAGGAGGGGGCAGGGGGAGGAGGGAGGGGGGGAGGGCAGGAGGATGCGCAAGGAGCCCCCTTTGCCCTTTCCCCTCTCTCGGGGAGACGTGAGACTCGAGTGTGCCGGAACTCGGGTTCGCCTGCGTTTTTTTTGACGAGCGCGTCCTGGGTTCTGACGGTCCAGTTTTCGTGGGGCGTTTGCGGCGGGAGCTCGCGTCATTTCTCAGGTTGGGCCTCGTCATTTTTATGATGGCCCCGTCAGGTCAACCCGAGTCCCCCGTAATTAATTACCCGAGTCTTACGTCTCCCTGGTTCTCCTTCGTCGGCCACGCGCAGAAGGGGGTGGCAGGGGAGGGGGGAGGCTTCTTAGAAGTACCCCTGCTTCTTACAAGGCGCGGGCCTTCTCTCTCTCTCTCTCTCTTTTTTTCTCTCTCTCTCTCTCTCTCTCTCCCAACCATCCTGTGGTGTTGGGTCCTCGTTTTGAAGAAACGGTCCCCGCGTCTCCTCTCCTTCTCTCCTCCTCCTCCCCCTCCTCCTCCCCCCTCCCCCTCTTCCTTGCGTTTCACCCACCGAGTACAGCGTTTCGTGGCCCCATCCACCGAAGGCCCCCAGTGGCTGCGTTCGCATGGCGGCCTCGGGCCATTTCGGCACACCCCTCGCGAGGATCGTGGCCCCATGGGGAGCTCCACCGAAGGCCCCAGTGGCTGCGTTCGCATGGCGGCCTCGGGCCATTTCGGCACACCCCTCACGAGGATCGTGGCCCCATAGGGAGCTCCACCGAAGGCCCCAGTGGCTGCGTTCGCATGGCGGCCTCGGGCCATTTCGGCACACCCCTCACGAGGATCGTGGCCCCATAGGGAGCTCCACCGAAGGCCCCAGTGGCTGCGTTCGCATGGCGGCCTCGGGCCATTTCGGCACACTCCTCACGAGGACCGTGGCCCCATAGGGAGCTCCACCGAAGGCGCCCAGTGGCTGCGTTCGCATGGCGGCCTCGGGCCATTTCGGCACCCCTCTCGAGGATCGTTGCCCCATAGGGAGCTCCACCTAAGGCCCCAGTGGCTGCGTTCGCATGGCGGCCTCGGGCCATTTCGGCACACCCCTCACGAGGATCGTGGCCCCATAGGGAGCTTCACCGAAGGCCCCAGTGGCTGCGTTCGCATGGCGGCCTCGGGCTATTTCGACACACCCCTCACGAGGACCGTGGCCCCATAGGGAGCTCCACCGAAGGCGCCAGTGGCAGGGTTCGCACGGCCGCCCCGGGCCATTGCGGCACATCCCTCACGAGGATCGTGGCCCCATAGTTGTGTTGATCCAACAACCGCGCCTGGGCGTCGTACTCCGCCTTGTCGACGTGCAACGCCACCTCCTCCCTCATGGCTCTCTAGGCCTTCTCCTGCTTCTGCTCCTCGGTGAGAGGGGCGCCGTCCTTGTCGTCGTCGGCGCCCGCGAAGACGGCCACGAACGTGCCCCTGAGCATGTCGGGCTCCGGCGGAAAGCCGTGGCCACATAGGGAGCGCGGGCCAAGATGGCATTCACAATTGCAGTATTTTCACAACAGCATATGGTTGGGTCCTTCGCCAGGCTAATTTGTTTTCCTCTCTCTCTCTCTCTTTCTTTTTTGGTTTATCTCTCTGCCTCTTTCTCTCTTTATGTATTTATATATATATATATGTATATATCTGTATATATATATATATATATGTATATGTGTGTATATATATATATATATATGTATGTGTGTGTATACCCAGGTTACGGGGGCGAGGCCGCCAGGAGTGTGCCTGCGCCCTCCATGGGGGCTCCGGAGCTCACTTTCCTTGTGTTTTTACAGGGTTTCGGCGTTCCAGGGCCTCCGGGGGAGGCCGCCAGGAGGGTGCCTGCGCCCTCCATGGGGGCTCCGGGGCTCACTTTCCTTGTGTTTTTTACATGGTTTCCGCGTCCCTGGGCCTCGGAGGCCGCCGCCTCCGACCCCCCCTCATGGGAGGACAGGGCGGCCGGGGAGGGCCAAAATAGTCCAGGAGGGCCTCCAGAGGCTCCCAAGACGGCCCAAGCGGGCCCCGAGTCGCCGAAAGACCGCTCCAGGACGCCCAAGATAGGCCCAAGACGGCCCGAGAGCCCCCCCCAGGCACTCCACGACGCTTCAAGACGCTTCTCCAGAGCGCTTCAAGAGGCCGAAATCGTCAATTTTACAAAGGTTTTCGAACGATTTTGGCCTTCCAGCCTTTTCGGCTGTCCGACGTTCCAAGACGGCTCAATAGGCCCCCAAGAGCTCCCCGAGACGGCCCAAGAGGGCCCCAAGACGGCCCCAGAGTCGCCCAAGACAGCCCAACAGAGCCCCAAGACGGCCCCAAGATGCGCCCAACAGGGGGACCACGATTCCAAAATTCAACCCTCCCGCTTGAGTGCCCCAGGAGGCCCCAAGGAGCCCCCAAGAGGCCCCAGGAGCCCCCCAAGAGGCACCCAGGAGGCCCAAACAAAGCCTAAAGAGGCTACAACACAGCCCCGAGGAGGCCCCACAACGGTCCCAAAGCGGCTACCGAGAAGCTGCGAAACTGCTTTCACGACGTCCCCGCAGGCCAACCACGAGATCCAAGCCAACACCCATGAGGCCTCTGACCCACAACCCAGGGTATGGTGGCGGGAGCAGTGACAGCACTTGTGCACAGCATGTTCCGGCGGGAGCCTTCCGGAACACGCTGCAGGAGGAGGAGGAAGATCAGGAGGAGAGAGAGAGTTGGAGTGGGAGGAGGAGGAGGGGGACGAGGAGGAGGAAGAGGCCTCCCAGACAGCTCCAAGATAGCCGAAGAGGCTTCCAAGAGGGCCCTGGGCGGCCCACGAGGGCCCCAAGGCGGTGCCTGAGGCTCCCAAGACGGCCAAAGAGGGCCCCAAGACGGCCCCAAGAGAGGCCCAAGAAGGGAAACACGAACCGAGAATCCGAGCTTTCTACCCCGAGAGGTTCTCAGCAAGTCCCAAGAGGCCCCCCCAATCGGATCCAAGAGGCTCCCAAGAAGCTCCCAAGAGGGCCGACTAGGTTCCAAGAGAGATCTCCCAAGGTGGCCCCAAGAGGCACAACTCATTGTTTTACGATTGGGCTTTGACGGGTTTTAATTGTTTCTGCCTTTTGGTATCCCGATGCTCCAAGACGGCCCAAGAGGCTTCCAATACCCCTCCCATATAGAGGAAGAGCCTCCAAGAGGGCCCCAAGACGGCCCGCGAGGGCCCCAAGACGGTGCTTGAGGCGCCCAAGACGGCCCGAGAGGGTCCCAAGAGCCCCAAGATAGGCCCAAGAAGGGGAACGCGACCCAGCAGCAGAGCGGTCCCCCCACAAGGCCCACAGGAGGCCGCAAGAGGCCCCCAAGTGGTCCGACGAGGACCCCAAAAGCTTCCCGAGGGCCGAAAAGGCCCCTAGGAGACGTCCAAGAGGCTTAAAATAGCCCAAGAGTGCCCTCGATGCGTCAAAACTGCTTCCAGGAGAGGCTTCCGGATTGCCTCAATCTGGCCGCAGGTGGCCTCAAGTCGGGTCCACGCAGCCAAACGGCCAATGCTTCAGATTGCTTCCGGATTGCCTCAATCTGGCCGCAGGTGGCCTCAAGTCGGGCCTGCCAAAGCGGCCAATGACGGCTTCAGATTGCAGAACCGATGCCCCCAGACGCCCCCCCAAGAAGCACCCAAGAGGTGCCTCCAACAGCCAGTTGACGAAGCATGCGAAACACCCCAGAAGCTCCTCAGATGCCATCGCGCGCCTGTGCTTGATAGCGTTGTCCAAGATCGTCCAGCGCCCCCCCGGCCTGGGCTAGAACCTGAGCGCGCGCGAAGCGCGCGCGATGGTTCTAGCCCAGGGGCCCGAAAACAGCTGCCCGACCCTCCATGGGAGTACCGGGGCTTATTTTCGCTGTATTTTTACAGGGTTTCGGCGTCCTGGGCCTCGGAGGCCGCCGCGATGGTCCCGGACATTTTCCAGATCCTCGGCGCGGGCTCCAAGACCATTCCGCAGAGGGCTCCAACAGGCTCCAGGGCAGCCCAAGAGGGCTCCAAGACGGCTCCAGAAACGACTGCAGGGTCTCATTTTTCTTGTGTTTTCTGCAAGACGGCTCCAGGAAGACTGCATGTCTTATGAGGATGGCTTCCGCCTCTCGCCCCGAGCATCCCAAACTGCCTGAACGGTTCCCACTCGCCTTCCCCAAACCCAGCGCTTGCCCAAGCGCGTTCCGGACGGTCTTCGCCGGAACGCGCTGGAATGATCACGCGCTGCGGTTTCCCATGCCAACGTCCTCGGACGTGGGCGCCCTGCCACGAGCGCGTTCCAGGAAGATGCTCCCGGAACGCGCTGAAAAGATATGGCTACATCTCGGGGACGCTCCCGGCACCGCTGCCCCAGCCTTTCCGGGCAGCCTCCACAGCGCTCCAGGAGGGCCCAAGACGCCCCCCAGGAGCCCCCAGAATGCGAAAGGATGGCCCAAGACGCTCATGAGCAGCCCAAGTCAGCCTTCCGACGGCTCTCGAGGCTCCCAGGTGGCCTCCAAGAGACCCCAAGAAGTCTGATAGGTATCACGGTACGGCCCGAAGAGGCCAAAGTCGTATATGTTCAATGGTATTTTCAATGTTTTTGGCTTCTCGCGTTTTCGAGCTTGCACCGGTCCAAGAGCACCAAGAGCCTCCATGGGGGTACCGGGGCTCATTT